ACGTTAGAAATTTCACTGCTTTGTAAATTATTGCTTGTAATATCACAATTAAGTAGTATTAGTGTCACTGTAAAATATTTCATTTTGTCTTTTACATGGCTTCAATAAATGGATTTTTAATAACACCATTCATACTAACTTGAACGGAATATAGTTGAAAACACTTTAGGATGTGCCAATAACAACACATTGGAAACACTTACTTTGGCAGCAGCCATGGGTTATATTTTCACTTATTGTTCTATGTTCAGTGACTTGATGGATGCTAAAAAGATTATGTATTGAATTTATTATTAAGGTTCATAAAAAATAAAACGAACTTTTTATCATAACATTTCAAAATAAAATAACAAACATCACTCATGAACAAACTTATGTTAGAGCACAAGTAAATATTGGAATATACATAGTATCACCCTAGGCACAAACATAATAAGGGTTTCAATTTGATTGCAGGAAATCAAGAGAAGATCAAGGAATGGAAGCATTGAGGTGCATAGCCTAAAAAGATGAGGGATTTAAAATTTAATTCAACTCACAAATGGTATGACGAGCATGACGCCAGACAACAATCTCCTTGATTGGTCGCTCAAGACCAACAAATTGCAGCTCCAGTTTCTGCTCTATGGCTTCTCGTGCCATCACCCTTGCCTTAGCCTGCTGGTTAGTAGGACGATTGCTTCCTGTTCTGTCTTCCATATGAGAACTAACAATGTGCTGCTCCAGAGACCAAATTGACCGGCGGGATTGCAAAGAAGCTTTGTTTTTGGACTAAACTTAGAAATCGCAAAGAAAGATTGGACTGTAACAAAGCACTCTGTAAATTTTCTAAAATTAATAATTGGGAATCTATATCTTTAATATTTATTCTGAAATATTTCTTTTATGCAAGTTAAGAGGTTGATAGCCTGATAGGCCGTTATGAGGTCTGTAGAAAATCCTTACAGGGTAAGGCCTTTTTTTTTTTTTTTTTGAAGGTCACTCTAAATAAAAAATTTTGAGGGAAGAGGAGAGGAGGAAAGGAATTTTCCTTAATTTTGTCTATTTTCTTTTGCATTTTAATCTAACCAAACAATGAGCCCCTTTTAATCTATTATAGAACAAGAAATATTAGGTACTTTCTGATTTATGCACTTAAAAGGACAAATAAGACCATGGTGAGTCGAAAAGAAGAAGCGTCTGCTTTTTTGAAGCTCACTTGAGCATTTCATCGAACAGCTGGTGAGCACCGTCGATATGCTCTTCGTAGTGCCAGATTTCTTATACGTAGCATGAAGATTCCAACAGGTTTTAAAATTTATATACAATTGCCGGTAAGGACCTGGAAGACTTGGAGTTTTCTAGAAAGAACTCAGGATTTCTTCTATTCTATAAGGTCCCAAAATAGTCCAGAATTTTTTAGGACAGCATATTTGAGTTGTAGAATTCTCTAGGAAGCCTTGGTACTTGAAGTCTCTGGAAATCTCTTACCTGGTGGCCCTGCGCCTAATAAACGTGTTCCCCTCATTTATACATACAAGACGCTAGCAAGACAATACATTTGAGCACTTTCTGAATTCTCTTCAATCTTTAGAGTTTGACTGAGAGAGAGTTATTTTAACGTGGTGTCTTTAAGGAAGTTTGTCTTGAGTATGGGATGATAAATATCAGGAAGTAGGAAGTTAGTCTTGAATATGGGATGAGAAATATCAGAAAGTAGCTACATATGATGTAAAGAAAATCCAATTACCAATCTCAGTTCTAGAACTATACTAATTACATACTTTAAAATTGAAATTAGTGTTTATTGTTTTTACTTTTTAAAAATAATAATATAGGATGAAATACTTCAATGTTTTTCTAAAAGAATTAATTTATAATACTTAATTAGCAACAACAAATATATATCATATCTTTTTATAAGGTAGGACAAGTAATTTAACTTGTAGAAGAAAGGGGTGGGAAAGAGGAGATTATACAAGTTCAAACTCATCAGTGGATGAAAAAGGTATTTTACAACAAATATATACCATGTTGCAATTCTTCGAAAATAATTAGTTTTTTTTTTTGAATAATTCTATTTATGTGTAGTGTTCACTTCTAAGAATATCAAAAAAAAATTTCAATAGAGCAAATGGCAAATTCTACATCTTAGATTGTTCTTTAACAAAACAATTACACAAGCAAATCACACTAGAAATACAGAATAAGAAACACAATAGAACAAATGAAAATGAAAAGCAAAATCAAATATCTTTTCCTACAGAGGCTACACATTTTCTTTCAATTTTATTTTAAGGATAGGCAAATGTGCCAACACACTACTTAACGCCATAGAACTTCACTGACCAACTTACCATCAAACTCGTTCGCAATTTCTATGCACACCTTGCGCTTCTTTAATCCATTTAGGTGAGCCTCTAATTTTGAGATTTTGATATCTATGCTCTCAACTTCACTGCGTGCTTTCAGACCAAAGTAACCACAAGCGATTTTCTTCAGATGTTCCATGGCAAATTCCGCTTCAAACTCAATACGCAATGCATCCTTGATTGCATCTCTCCACTTCAACATCTTCCCCTCAGTAACTTGCTCAAGTGAAAGGTCACCCATCTCTTTAATTGTTGCACAGAACAGAATATAGACATTTCTAGTAATACTTGAGTTCATTTTGCTGGTTGCGCAAACATCACCATAAACCTTAAATATTTTCACAGCAGTAGGTACTAAAGACAATGGGATTTGGTACCTCCCAACAGTTCCGTGCTCCCCATCCAAGTCTGTGAAGTCTTGGAACTTGACATTGCTCATTTCATCCGCATCAAGTTTCCTAAAAAATTCAGTTGCAGGTGCATTGGTGTCGCATATAATAGTTTGAGAACTAGTAGCACCAGAAACAATAGCAGGCCCCAACCATTTTAGCAATTCAGGATCTTCCAACTGAAAGAATGTATACAAGGGCAAAAATTATTAATAATAATGACCAATAGACATCAAACTAGCACAAGATGATCATACAACAATCTACCAGGTCACAGTCAGTAGACGTAGCTTCTTGACAATTGGGGTTTATGTCTTGACAATCCTGCAAATTAAAATAAAGGGAATATTACATGCATAATCTAATCAAAGACTGGCAGAACCAAAAAAAAAAAAAGGAAAAAAAAAAAGCCTAATCAAAGACATCCATTAAAGTTTAGCTATCGCAAAGGAAGTGAAATTCAGACATTAATTCATACTTTTAACCCTTTTAATCTCTAGAATAATAAAAATCCCCAGATAATAAAAATACCCATTACAGAAAGGCCAACACCTGACTTTACCTTTATTTTGTTAACCTCTTTTCTATGTTCCTGTAAAGCAGTGTTCAAACTATCTGCCAGAAATTGCAGCTGTTGGTTTTCCATCTGCACGATTCAAATCAAACAATGGATTAAACAAGAACAGAGGAAATTCTTTAGTTTTTTCCTTGGTGGGGTGAGGAAAAACACACCAATGCTTCATGAAGTGTCTTCTGCATCGATTGAACCATAGAAGATAATTCCGCCTTCTGTCTTTCTAAGTCTGCAACATTTTGCTTTATTTCACAGAATAGAAAGCAGACATTAGAATGAAAACAACTTCAGTACTTCACAAAGAGAAGTACTTAATTCCTTACCTTCTTTTTGGCACGGTGATTTTTATCACTTCTTCTTTTATTTTCCTTCCTTTCATGCTCGGTTAGTTTGGCTTTACGACCCCTTTTCCTCTGTTGGTTTGAATCATTAGATGGTCCTGCTTCATTGTTCGCCTCAAGAAGATTTGCTGTAGCTTGTTGCGACAGCGACAGCGACTGTGAGGGACCAACTTCAATTTGATTGGTTTTATCAAGCTCCGGTGTTTCTTCATCTTCGAGGAACGAGTCCAGCCAGCATCGGAATTGCTCTGCTGAATCACTTGAACGCAACATGTTTCCTTGATCGTCCATGTTTTCATGGGGCAGAATTTCAGCATTTTGGGAAATCCGTAGTAGATCATGAGAACCGGAATTTGTCTGCAAAACATAAAGGGAAGGATGAATAGGATGAAGGGCAAGTCAACTCCGCCATTAGAGAAAAGTCAACTCTAAAATTAGCAGAGAAAATATCTTTCTTTGAACAAAATATCCAGATAAGGGGAAGATGAAAAGCTTAATTAGTTAGGTGCAGACAATCAGCGGCGGATCGAAAAGCAATTGAATTCTTACAAATGATAAGTAAAAATTTAAGAAGAATAATAAAATTAATCCGAGGAACTCACCATGGAGAGTAAGAAAGAGGAATACTCCTGAAAATCTCAGTATGTAAACGCTTTCTAGCATTCTCCCCTTCAAAAGGGCCCTTTTTTTTTTTTTTTTCGGGGAAAGGCTTCAAATGGTTTGTTAATTCCTCAAATAAGCTGAAACCTCTTATGTTTGTGAAATATGGTGAGAAGACAAGTTGTGTGTAGAGCTCAAAGAGGCATTTGAGTTTATTTATACTATTAATTAATTTTATGCGCGCGCCGAGATACATTCCATTTCTAGAGCAATTATGTGAGCTGCATTTTGTCCAACTGATTCGCGAGGAAATTATATTGAACCGTTGGATCAAGGATCACATAAGATTAAACAATACAATCTATGTCGGCCCCACAAACAAGGGTATTAATTTATTGATTTTAGTTTTTTTTTTATTGGTAATAACTTTTAGTATTTAGAAATCACGTTGGATTTTAATTAATTTAAAATCAAATCGGATCAAATCTTATAAAGAGAAAACTCTCTTAATATTTATTTTTTCATTTACAAAATTTGAACTCGAAACTTTAATTGAAAAAAATTAAACTCTTTTCATTCGAATCAATAGATCGTTGATGATCTTGACTCTTATGACAGGGGATGTAGCTAGAAACTAATTTCGAAAGACAAAGTGCTATTTAAAATGTATAAGTTAAAAATAAATTTTTTGACTTGTAAGTAAAATTAAAACTTAAATATATAAAAGTTAAAATTTTAAGGATCTTAAATACAGGAAAGCTAGTTAAAATTTATAGATATTTAAATTT